AATAATAATAATAATAATAATAATAATAATAATAATTACAGCTGTAACAATAATGATAATAATAATAATGATATTGAAATATTAAAAGAAGCGTACATAATGTCTACTTGTCCTTGCCTCAAACCTTCATTCATTGTACGAAGTGAATTTTACTCCGATGTTGACATTATTGAATGCGGAACTAAATGTCACTGACAGATTCGAGCTGCTAATGCGGAATCCTCGATGTTATTGAAGTACATTCACATACATCAGCCAATACCAGTTTCCTGGATCATCAACCACTTGAAACCAAGTAGAAATGAGGGACCTAGACTTATTGATGTTAAAGAAAGTTTCTTTCTTCATTAGCTTCCGCAGGGAAAACACTCCCTGGTCAGAACTGACTTCCTCAAATAAGAAGGAAGGTGAAAAACAGTTGCCGTTAACAGTGATCCTTTTCGAAAAGGATTGTGGGCCGTAAGGGAATCGAACCACTCTCCTTCACATCCGGACGCAATGTATTACCCACTACACAACCGGCTCTTGTGCTCCAAGTTCAACCTGGCAGCACGTCCACCACGGATCTGTCTTTCAAGGCAGAATGCACTTTTCTTTTCTCAGCCTCGTCTCATATGCAGTATAGATTTTTTTCTTTATTAACTATCTTTTTTAGGCAGTGTTAGTTCCTTGTGGCAGCTTTTTGCCGATTTTCCGGGACAAAAATGTTTTTGTGGAAATTTAGAGGGAGACAGGAAAAAAAGGAAGCAAGGATAGAAGCAATAGTTATCGACTTGTTTAAAGGCATGATTTTTCCAAATTCCCGAAACTGGTTTCGTTCCAGGAAAACAGCGCGAAAGCGTTCCAGTGCAAGCTCACACTGACAGCCTCAGTTATCAAATGATGCAAGTTAATACCGGAGGTGGGTCGGATCCTTCATCAGCAATGCCATGTGGCGATGCTCCATCTGCTGCTGCTGACTACGCACCGCGAAAAACAGCTGCAACACCATACATGGTACCTATCCTGTTCTGAAAAAATTGCGATCACCGAAGAAAAAATCCCCTTTTGTTGTGCTATGTACAGGAAAAAAAGACATGAGTGTTAAGTAGTGGGGCGAAGTGTGCATTTAACAGTATGCTGCTTAAAACAAGCAAAACTTTAGTATCACAGGCACCCGCAAAAGTCCGATAAAAATTAGGAAGTGTAGGCAGCCTATGATAGCAAAATTAGGAGGCGCTGGACACCGTAGAATGTGTGTTTGTGAGTAGCATGTAATAAAAGTCATACGGTCCAATTTCTTCATGTGAAGCACGAAGACAAACAACGCAGCAGTGAAAACATTACGATTCGAATGATTCAAAGGATATATAGTGAGGATGGAATATTTAATCCCCTTCGATCTATGTCTTTTATGAAAATAAAACGTGATTCATTTTTGACAGTTTTGCGCACCTGCTCCTCACCTTTGGTGCGCTTCAAGAATTTTTGCAAGTTGCATACCGATAACGCAGTGAATCTTTTTTGCGCATTAATGTATTTCGTATTTTGTATTATAAATGAAATTGCAGCCAAGTACAATTCCAAAGGCACCGGCTCCGATGATACCAGCAGCTATGACAACGTCGCAGGTTCACATGAGACCTGTAAAAACGGAAAGATCGCCGGTACGCAGAAGTGCCAGTACCGTTGGGGTTCCATCCATTGCTGCTTCGATCCCTCAAGCACCTTGTTCGAGTAGTGGATTAAGTGTACAGTTCGTTCCTGTTTGTAGGTAAGCAGTTCGATTGCTTATCATTGAATGAATTACAACTCATTATTTATTTTTGAATAAAAATTTAGATTCCAGACAATTTGCACTTTAAGTAAGTAAATTGCAAATGCTAGAATTTAGCAGCTACAGCTTTTTGCGTTCTGTGTCACAAAGTAAATGAATAAGCACTATAGGGTGGAATCGTGCTCCGAGTGAATGAATTAAGAAATCACTGAGGAAAATAAATTAAGTGAGAAAATCTATGATTTCAACAGGTACGAGGATGCACAAGCGATACGAGCTGTGGCATTTCATCCGAGTGGACGTTTTTTCGCACTGGGAACCAATTCGAAGCAAATGCTTGTTTGTAAATACCCTGATCTAAGGAAGTTCAAGTATGTTCACTGATTTAAGCTACCATGAACGCTGGAAATTTTTATGGGATTCTCATTTTAAAAATTTTGTATTTAATTCTCAGTTTTTGTGAAATTCTCATTTTTTTTTAAAAAAAACACAGTAGCAACGTGCTCGCAGTTGTGAGCGGAACTCATTTTTGCAAACTTATGAACTAGAAAAGAATCAATTCCTTCAAACTATGATACTATTATAATAATCGGAGTACTAAAAACTACATGTGTGGCACCCGCACAAATACAGCCTGGATTACCTAGCTTTTAGCAAAACTGGAATATTTTTGCCAGCTTTTCGTGGGTATCGAAGAGGCAAAATGAAAAAAAGCCTTCGGAACTCATTAAACGGTTCTAACAAGTGTCTACACAGCTAAGATTTTATTTTTTGGAAGCAGAAGTATTTGCAAAGATTTTGGCAAGTCAACTGTTTATGGATAAATTAAAAAT